CCAAAACGCCCTCCTGGCAACACTCCCAACTTCAAGTCAGTACCAAAACCTTGCCTAGCAGCTCATCTCACTCTTCTTCAAGTCTTCTGCCTCCAGCACACCCAATCTCCAGTGAAACCAGATGGTTCGGTAAGTTTGCATGCAGGTTATTGACGGTCCCCAAGCTTTCAGGCGTTGCCACTTCTCCCATCTATGCATCCAAACCAACGGATATGAGAATGGGAATGTCAGCACTGAGCCACGAGCAAAAAAGGATAAGACAAATAAAAGGCAATGCAGCCTGAAAATGGCAGTGCGTGGCAGACACACTACTGTAAATGATGCATGAAGCACTCATCCTCATGAAGTCTTTCATCTTCTGTCTTTTTTGGGGTTGCTCAGAGCCCTTTGGCAAGCAGGGATGTGTGTGGCTGCACTAGGCACACAGCCCCCGGAGCCCAAAATCTCTCCCTTGGGCTGGGAAACTTAAAAATTAAGAGATCTTCTCATGAACTGAAGACAGAACATAAGTGCTAAGAACACATCTTTGCTCAGTTTGAGAGACACACAGACCTGAAGATGGATGGAAGTGCATAGCTGGGGCCCAAATCTTCTTTGTTTGTTTAAAATTGAGATTAAAACCAAATTTAGGGTCCTTCTGAGCCGAGTCCTCTCTTTCCCAATCTCCTCCAGACACAATGAGAAATGCAAGGAGGAAAAAGCGTGCATCGAAGAGGGAAGGGAGCTCTGATTGCTTCCCTGCCTCAGGCTGCAGTCCTGGGGGGCTTTTAGGCAAGTTTCTGAATGGGAAATGGAGAACTTAATTGCTGCATTGGAGGATCCGTGGCTGTTTTGAGTACAAGCTGCTGCAGAGTTTAATCACCTCACTGTTCGGGGCTTTGTGTTTTCTCTGCTGAACACCTGCAGCACTGGTAGCCTTCTGAAATACATACTAAGCATGTTAAAATAAATTCCCTTCAAGTACCTCTGGCTGTCCAAACTCAACTCTTTGCTTTAGGGTTGTAGGATTAAAATGAGACCAGAAATAAGAATTCTGCCCCCTACCACAACCCATGTTCTGCTCAGAGCCACATGACGACAGGCAGTGAGCTGCCTCCAGAGGATCTAAGAGCTGCTAAAACCATGTACTGGCTTCATTAAGCATCAGGACTGGGCAAACTGCTACACTACAGTTCTGAAGAGGAAGCACATGCATATGCCCTGCAGCCAGCAAAACCAGCACATCAGCACCAGAGCAGAATGCAGCAAGGTCTGAATCTTCTTGGGTGCACCTTACTCCCATCTGTGTGGGCTGGATGTGTGGTTTACTTGGTGTTTTGCTTCATTTGCTTCCTCTCACTTTTATTCACATGGGTGAAAAAGCTGCCAGGGAATTGCACAGCAACAAGTGAGGTTCTGTTGTCATCACCTGGATGTCAGTTAGAAACCCTGAATGTGGAGATGCTGAAAGAGGAGGCTGAAGTCTCCATCCCACGCCTGAACCATGTCTTCTCCTTCATGACTTGTTCTTTGTCTTGCTGCTGGAAATCCTTCTGAGATGAATGTGTGCACACCATCTCACTCAAACCCCAGTGCAGTCTTTCCACCCGTTCAGAGCAGAAATTTAATGCAAGTCCCTTTTTCCCTCTTAGCTCACTCCAGGAGCACAGCTCCCAGGCAAGGCGCACAACAGCATCTTCAGCACTGCCGTCCCACTTAGCAGGTGACATGGGCAGGCTTTCATTCCTTGAAAATATGTGCAGACAACTCGAGAGACAAGCAAACCACCAAACCACCAAGGTTACACAGCACGAGGTCACTGCAGTGTCACTGCTGCCAGGAGGGGCAAGCAAGGCTGAGATGTGGCTGTGGGCACGGCAGTGGTGATGTTTGCCTAAGTTCTCCTAATGAAGTGCTACAGATGCAAACACTTGCAGAAAGGAAGCTTTTAAACCTGCACAAACAGAATACTCACTTGGAATCTTTGTGTTTTTCTGCTGCGGTGCTATTTAATGTGAGATGGGAACAACTTGCATAGCACAAAGGCACTTCAAATTCGAGGGCAATCTACCTACATCTGTTCCAAGGGCAACCTTGAATGACTACACACACATCTTTACATTAAATTATATTTGCACCCAGCCACTTCAAGCCCAGTACAGAGCCAGAATCTTTTAATCGCAGGATTCCATGCAGCTAAGGAATCTTACCCAGAAACTGATGTGGTCAGAAGAAAACTATACCTAAATAAAAGATAAAACTCAAGAGAACAGATGTATTCTGTAGCCCTGATAATCTCATTTTTCCCCCAAAGGGTGGTGAGGCACTGGCACAGGTTGCCCAAGGAGGCTGTGGATGCCCCATCCCTGCAGGCATTCAAGGCCAGGCTGGATGTGGCTCTGGGCAGCCTGGGCTGCTGGTTGGTGACCTGCACACAGCAGGGGGTTGGAACTGGATGAGCACTGTGGGCCTTTGCAACCCAGGCCATTCTATGGTTCTATGATTACCCATGAAAGTGTCAGAGATCAAACAGCCCCACTCATTGTTCTTGCCAGCCCAGCAGGGAAACCATATAATGGTGATTCTTTACACCCAAGCACAACCAAGTACTTCCAAGCATCAACCAAGCCTGCTGCTAGAGCCAAATGGTAGCAAAGCTTCGAGGGGCTCTTCCATGATCCACACAGGGCTTTATCTCATTATACTGCAATTAGCCTCAATCACCTTGGCTGCAGGTGCTGTGCTCTGGGATCACAGTCAGGCAGTGCCTGCAGCCACCTCCATCACAGTGAGGCACCAAATCTGCCCTCAGCCACGTCTCTCCCCCCCAGCCTCCCTCTAAACTTTGTATTTAAGCACAAAGCTCAGCACTTTGTGATTAAACTCAGAGCAATTCCTTGCACCCAGAAATCTCTAGTGCATAGTTGTTATACAAGAACAAAGCAATGCTTCAAGATCTGAGAGAATTGGATGTTCCCCATCAAAAGACACTTTTTCCCTGCAACAAAATGAAAGCCATTTCAGCATCAGCAGCCTGGTCTATTGGAGGTGTCCCAGTGGCAGGGGTTGGGGCTGGGTGGGCTCTAAGCTCCCTGCCAATCCAAGCCACCCTGTGATTCTATGATTCTACACCACCACATAGATGAGTACCTACAGGCTCCTAGCATGATTTCAGCAGCCAGGAGGCGGATATACAGGTTAGTGAGATGGATGTCTGGAAGCTGCAACGGGTTAAGGCTCTTATCAGGGACCCAGAAAACATGGCATTTAGAAACACTGGAGAAAAAACACACCTGTCATCAGAGCAATATTGCTCATTCTATAAAGACCTGACCGAAGCTTGCTGTGCTCCAGCCAAGTCCCAGAACTTGGCAAAAAGCACACAGTTACCATCCAAAACCCCCAAATAGACATTTCTGGAGACATCTTCTCTTGAGCCAAACGGTGCTGAACCATCCCAGGCTGCATACAAACCCCAGCACGCAGCCACTCCGTGTGTCTACGTCCCTGAAAATCAAGCGGGACACCAACACTATATTTGTACAAATGAGAGCAGAGGGGGGAAAAAAAAAGCATTAATGTCCATCACCAAAGATATTTTTCTTTCACTAATAACACCCATTAGCTCCTCCAAAGAGAACAATCCCTGTGCTTCGGCTCTGAAGGAACACAGAGTTTTTAAGCAGGCACAACAGAAAGATTTTACAGAATTCAAGCATTCAACAGGACTAATGTGAAAGATTACTTTGCAATTATCCAAGCAATTTTCTCTCCTCATTGTCCCTGGACCATAAGGGTTTTTTAAATGCGAGCAGAAGGATTTATTCACCACAATAATAATAAAACAAAATATGAAATCAATGAATCTCTTTGCATGAAGCATAAAGCTCACGTTGCTATTAAGTTTAGCAGCCTCATGTCACATAAAGCACACGCAGTTTGCGTACTTAAATACCATCTTCCCCTTTTATTTTTCCCTTCCCTAATTCCTAACACATTATCCTTCCATTTGTCCTCTAAACACGACTGGATTCAAACAACACAGCATTGCTTCTTATTAGAAGCTTTATGCTTGTGCTCTAAGAGTGCATTGGAGATTTACATATAACACTGACCAATAACAGTGCCGAGATAACAGAGGAGCCCTAAAATAAAGAAATTAATATTAATTTGGGGAGAAGGAATTTCCTAAAAGTAACAGAGCCAATATGCAAGTGAATAGTTGGGCACCAGAAAGGACATCAGGCTTTGAAGCTCTTGCTTCTTCAGTGTGGCTGGGGAAGAAATCAGCCCACACCCAACCCAAACCCACTGCAGCCTCCAGAGCACAGACACTCACAGTCATGCTGGCCTTGGCTTACGTGTTCCCCCATCCCTTGTAATACAAAGTGATCGATGTCTTTTGAGGCCCTTAACACCTGCACAACACAGCTTCAGTTGGTCCCTCTCTTGTTTTCATGAAAGATTTATCAGGAAAAGCAGAGAAACAGTCCCTATTTAGCTATTTATAAGGTGCCACCTGTCCTCACTGTGTGACACTTCAACGCCTAAGCAAAGATTTTCAATAAAAAGGAACCCCTAGCTTTAAGCCCTGAGATTCCTATCAGGCTCCATACACTTACTGCTTCAAGAGCACCACATTCCCAGCACCTGCAAAGACCCCAGTTTTTTACCATTTAGACTCCTACCTATCAGCTCCTGAATTGCACAAGCAGAAGGCTGCAGACTGATTTCTCATGACAGCAGTTCATTTCACCTGAATTTCAAACCAGCATTTGGAGAAGACAAGCGAAAGCATTCTCATGCAAACACCTAAATGGGCCAGATGAGTCATGCCTTTCATCTCCCTGTTTTTCACCACAGATAAAGAGGCCAGATCAGGTACAGACATCTCCAAGGCTGCAAGATGAACGCTGTCCTGGATGACTAAGCTGCACTGACGCACTCCAGAGCTGCCACAGCCAGCTTGAATGCGCAAACCCCACCAGGAAGCGAGCCCATAATATCAATATCTTTCTTACCATGATTGGAACACCAATGTCTGGCCACAAGAGATCCTCAGAGGGAAGCTTGGGAGAGTTCCACACTACCACAACTTTATTTAAGTACGGGAGACCATTGAGCCTTTCTAGGGAGTTCATCAAAACTTCCTCCCGCTCGTAAGTTAGCATCACCACTGTGAACTGCTCCCGGGGGACGTTGCCACCCAAAGCAGCCTGGAACTCCTTCCCAGAGCCGCCTGCTCCTCCACCTATTGGTCGAAATCCAGTCCCAGACCCTAAAAACTTTGCTTCCGATGGCAAAACAGGGTCAAAGGGAGTATAGGGAAAGAGGTGAAAAGGCCCCGGAGCGGAATTCCAACTCCTGTAGATGTCCATTGCAGTGAGGGTGAAGTTGCGGAGATATTTGGGAGATGCATAGGGTGGTTCTGTTTCCACAGGCCCTAAGTCCAGGTCACCGTTGTCTGCCATGTTGGGGTCTGTACCAGCAGCTTTGCCAGATCGGTGGGGAATCTCCACTGCAGTTTCTTCTCGGATAGGAGCAGCCGGGATTTGGATTCGAGTCCTTATGATAGCCAAGACTGTGCTGAACACGTTATCAGAGGTGGAGAAGTAAGTCTCCCACAAGAAGCGGCCCTGCCTCCTCATGGCAAGCAGATCGTTGTCAGAAATGCTTCTCAGAAGAAAGTGCACTTCTGTGATACGTGGCTTTGGTATGATTAAGGCTGCCTCGTTCCACCGGATCACGTCGTTGTAGGGTAGCTGGACTTGCTCTCCAAGAACCACCGGGATGGCTCCGACTTCCAGAGCCTCAAACAGTCTCATGGCACACCCAGCGGAGATCACTAACCGGGTGTCCCCGGGGGTGATTATCAGTGCAAAAGTAGATAGCTTCAGTAGCTCTAGTCTGTCGTCCCTTTCTCCACACAGAGCCCACTCAGTGGGCAGACTCGCCTTAGGCTGGTTCTTACACGTGAACTCCACCAAAACAAAGTCCAGCTTGCTGTCCTGAACAGCCTTCAAGGTGGTGATAATGCGATCATCGTAGTCAGCCGGGGCGTTGCCTTCTATCTCCTCTTCGAAAGAGCGAACTTCTTGCAAGCTAGATCTGAGAGACTCGATCTTCTCCCCCTGGAAACTAAACAGGTATTTACGCTTGACTGGCACCTGGGGTGGGATCTCCAGGAAGTTAGGTTCAGACATAGCATGGACCAGAGGTGACACCACAATATCAAAGCCCGGTCGATACTGCACATCATAAAACGTAGACTGGGCAAGCATGGCACGCCCTGTGCTGATGTTGTAAAGAAAGTTCTGAGTTTCTGATTTCCTGGACAAATTGATGATGAGATGGTTATGTCCATCAGTCCTCCAATATGGCAAAGAGTGCAACTGTTGCTCTAGTTCAGCAGGTTTTGGCATTACGGGCTCTTGCATTTCCCCCACTAAAATTATATACACACAAGCAATATTTGCATTCTCAGTAACATAAACATTAGTTCTGACAGTCGCCTCAAAGGCTTGTTTAATTAAAGGGTCTAAGGAACTACCAAAAGGGTAATCGTCACTGTTGTAGACATAGACTGGAAAGCCAGATGTCAGCGGGCATCGCGAGTAGTCAAAACAATTGTGCAGCCTGCAGTTCCGATTGGATTTTGGCAGGGGAAAGGTCGCATCGTCTTTGTCTGGCAGCAGCCGGATTGGCAAGGAGAGCTTTGGCTGGTTCTGAGCCATCAGTTCTTTGTAGGAATGCTCAGTCTGGCTGATGACGTTCTTCAGCTGCAGCAGGTCCTGCTTGGCATTCTCGATGCTCTTTTTGCAAGCCTCAATCTTCAAGTTGAGCTTGGCAATCTCACTGTTGAGCTCTTGCCGCTTGGCCTCCAGCTGCAGCAGCTCCTCGCTGACCGACTCGCGGATGCGGCACAGGTCCTGCACGTGCTTCACCTCGCACAGCTCATTGCCAGTCCGAGGGCCAAAGATGCGCTTGCCGGCATCATCTGCGTCATCGATGGTCGTCAGGTAGTAGTGCCCGATAAGGGGAAAAAAGACTAGGATGACAAAGAGGATAAAACTCAGCCAGGTAAGCCGGATCCGACTGGACCACCTCAACAACCACGGCTGGCCTCCGTTCCCCACTCCCCCATTCCGCAACATCGTATATCCAGTCATGAGTTCAGCAGTCACCGCATGCCCAGTCACGTTGGATCAGTAGCCATAACCAAAAGAGTTTGTATAGCAAGTCTCTACAAAGAAACGTTACTGTGCCTGCTTAATGAGAAGCCAATAGAACGGGAATTTCATCTTGTTGTGACGATGGCTCCTCGGTTGGACTTGACCTTGCCCACGCTCTGCCCACCCGTGGTCTGCAGGTAACCTGCTGGAAGTGTCACAGCATTCTCATGGCGACTCAAAGACTCCACCAGCAGAGGAAAAGCACGATGGGATCAAGGCAAACTCTACCGCTGCTCTCGACATCCTGCATTATCATCGTCCAATGAATGTGCAGGGGCACCAGCCATTGTGGAGAACGAGCCAGAAGAGACTCGTACCAGCGCCAGGCTCATCGCTGCTGTGTGGCTGATGCTCTGCTGTTCCTACAAGAGAGCAATCACATATTCAGACAGTGCAAACAAAACGACCCTGCAGCGACCTGAGACACTGCTAGTTTTTAAAACCAGCTGTCCTCTCTACAAAAGAGCAACCTTTGTGCATGTTTAGCACCTCTGGGGCTAACAGCAGTAAACCTGAGAAAGCGATGGGATTCATTAGATCCGGACACGTGGCCTTCTCTGAGCACTCTGTTTTTCATTAGGGTTGCACGCTTCAGTGGCCAGATCAGAAAATCACAGCCCCTGGATCTGGTTTCCTACTTTACCCACTGTCTTGCTGTGAAGCCTTGGAGAAGCTGCCTAACATCTGCAGGTCTCTGCCCCCTTCTGTACTAAGTGGGGATATCAATGTACCCCTGCTCTCTCTGCCCCCCTCTTAATGGCATGTTGAGATTCTGAGACACAGCAGAGCTGTAAATTCATGCTGCATAACTGAGCATAATCGCTCTTGTTCTGCTCTAATGACTAGAGCTGATAAGGAATTTTTAGACAAATTGTTTTCCTTGCCCTTCCTGCAGGAAAATTTTGATTCATTGCAACAGGAAGTTTAAAGACCACCTACTCAGTGTTGGCTATGACATCTCTGCAGGTTCACTGCACATTGGAGAAAACTTCTGGCCAAAACTGAAAAAGGTGCCTGTATACAGTGCCTGGCTAAGGCTCTGAACTAGCAGCAAGGGCACAAAACCCACCTTTAAACACCGGGATGTGACACATTCAGCACTCGGCCACATGCAGATGCTGCTATAAGAAACTCTCCCTGCCTTTTAATTAGCATCAAGGTACCCACGTTTCTCGGATATTCCTTCATATATGGGAATTCCCACATCACTGATGAATACAGTGCTGGGCTGTACAGCACTGTCCTGTACAGTCTCGTGAGAAGCTTATTCATTTCCACTTCAATTTTTAATTAGAGGAAAGTCATCTACGTTGCTGATGGTCATTTTTCACTAAACCTGTTCATACTCCTCTCCTTTACTCATTTGAGGATTGACAGAAAGAAGACAGGGAAGCAAACTGCAGCTACAAGAGGGCCAAAGCAAACAGAAGTTCACCTTAAAGAAGCAGAGAATGAATAAATTTCAGTGTAGTACACAAACGTATCGGAAAAATGAAGTGAACACTTGATTTGAAGCAGAAAAAAATTGCAACTAAAGGGAAGCAAGTGGGCTAACAGTGCACAGCTCCTAGGTCTGTTTTGTTACGAGGCAATTTGTCTGTGGTAACATAATGCTGCAGACTAAATGAGAATCCTCCCCCAAACTGGACCTGCAACTGGGAGACGCACAGTAGTTAAAAATTAAAGCAGCTTTTAAACTCACAACACTGCCTGGCAAACGACACTGGTGTAAATCTCAGAAAGCCAGGAGGATAAAAGGACTAAAAAGTCAGGAAAAGGCAAAACCAGCTTTCTCAGACCTTGGCAGTGCTGTCAGTGAGGGCAGATGGGGGAGGCTTGGGCTCTCTTGGCAGAACATTTTAATGCTCTTCTCTGTACAGCAGCCTCCATTTGCCTGGGCTGAGAGTGGCTGGTGATGAATGTAAATCCCCAGCTCTTCTGCACGAGGCTGTCAGTCAGACACGGGAAGCCCTGGCAGTAGCAGCGTGCTTGCATTGTGCCGCTGGGACCGCTGCTATACAACAGAAGGGTTTTAGCATGCACCAGTGTACAGAGCAGCTGACTGAGGCAAAAAAAAGAAAAAAAAAGCTTTTAAAGCCTGTATTTTATTTTTAAGCTCTCCCCAGGAAAGGAAGCTCTTGCTGGTACTGTCCGTGCATGCACAGTCTGTCAGTCCCTGCAATTCCAACGCTGTCTCAAAGGGTCCGCAAAGATCCTAGAATTGCAAACACTTGTCTGCAAACAGCTGGACGGGAGATGAGAGTTGCTCTATTAATGCTTCTGAGAGAAAAGCCAAAGCACATGCTCATTGGAACACCTGCAAAGCTAAGAAACAGCTCAACTTCAAGGTATGCACGGGAAAAACAAGGTCTGCTGTTTCTGCTTTGGGGATGACACTGGGGTGAACACAGTTAAATCCTGCAAGAAGCTGAGACAATACAGGAACAAGGGAACACAAATGTGACCAAAAAATGGCAGAGGAGGTTTGTGCATGTGCTTCTTCTGACTGGCCAGAGAAAAAACATGGCTCCACAGGCAGTGAAGGCAGCCCCAAAGACCATCAGGTTAGACTGCATCTAAACCTTGTTCCATTTTAGCAGTGCTGCCTATTTACAAGCTCCAAACAGCAATGAAGTAGCAAAGTGAACTCTCTAAAATGGCATCTGGTGTCCTTGGAAAGCTAAATCCAGGCCATCACCCCACACATGATCCTCTACAGCTGTTCCACCATCTAATCCTTCCAGTGGCTCCTCTGTTCCTGCTCCTTCAGTAGGCACATAACAAACTTTATCCTCCTGGCCTAAAAACGAGGGCTGTGAATTAAAACAATCTGCGTGCTCAGAAACCTGAAGCTGACAAATGAACTCTGCTGTTAGCTCAGAAAAAACCACACAGGAGAGAGCGGAGGAGGCTGCAGAGGGATATGAAATGCAACATGCATGGCTTGGGATCAGTTAGAAGTATTGACTGTCAGTATGAAATACGAGCTGGTGACAAAGAAAGCACTTTAGACGCTCTTTCTGACTCTTCTTCATTACGAAGAGTTCATTCCTCATCAACTAGATAGAGCCCGAGGTTGTAACAAAGCGCTTTTATTTTTTTTAAGTCCTAATAATGAAGTAAAAACTCAATCAGCTGTTTTACTAAGGGAGACTTCAGTGTTTTATTTAAAAGGAATAAGCTGCCCTGGTGAAAAAGATTGGTGATTTCTGTAGTTCCCAAAAAGAAGTTTGGGAGGAAGAGAAAGATAGCAGTTGCTGGGCTCTCCCTCCCAAGCACTATTTAATCCCAACTGAGTCCCACACTGAGAAACTCCTGTTGACATTTTAACACAACATTGCTGCCTTATAGAGCTAATTACATACACACAAAAAGAGGCAAAGAAGAGCTCTTGGGAAATCAGAAGCTCAATAATTACCACAGCCTCTTCCCAAATGCCAATCTGACCGACTTCTTTGGCACGACATGTTTGCATGCTGCAGTTCCTTCTCCCACAGCACAGGGCTGCAAAACTAAATTGCTGTTCATGCATGCTGCCACATCTTTGTTCAAATCCAGGGATATTTTCCCAGTGGGTGTTCTCTGTGCCAATGCAGTTACAGGAATATTTGGGGTTTTCCTGCTTTTTGCATTTCTAGCAGAAAGCGCCAGGCTGGGTGCTAGTGAAAGTCATTGCCCCCATGGCTCTGCAAGTGTTCAGTAACGAAAGCCCCTCTGCAGACACATGAGCAATCCTGTCCCTCCTACTTGTCCCTCCTCCTGTCCATCTCCCCATATAATATGAAATATTGTCTTCTTGTCAGCATACTTGAGAGTGGAAACTTTAAACCCACATAGCAGAGCATACCTAAAGGTAAATCACCATGCAGAGTATGGTGACACAGGTACAAATGACTGCAACAAGCAACCCAAGTGGAAAACCTACAGGGATCCTACATCAGAGCTCCCAGACTCTGTGTGCACCTCTATCCATCCTCAGTCTCCTCCTGTCCCGCTGATAAGCCTGCAGAGTTATCACTGCAATGCTGTCATCAGAAACATCCCCCTGTGCTGGGACTCTCTTCAAAGAGAACCTCGGTACCCACCTCTGTCATGCAGGTTTCCCTCCTGATGAACAGTGAAAGTCAGGGCGCTGTGTTAGTGGCTTCTTTGCTTCTCTCCTCTGACTCGAACAGACAGCTCCTATTGCCAAATCCCTTTTTCACCAGCACTAAAAATGAAATCAAATAAAGATCACATTTTTTTTACAGCAGTAAAAAGGGTAAACCATTATCTTTCTGCTAAAGCAAGAAGATCCAGCACATTGCCACCCTCCTTCTTGGCAACAAGGAAGAGCATTTCCAGTGAAACGGAAAAGAAATGAACACAAAACAGCCCTCCAGCAACGATAACTTTCAACTTCCTAATTCTCATAAAGAATAGGATTACACTCCAAATCTCCAATCACTTTTGGAACAGGAGCATTTAGAGGATTTTCCTCCTGCAATTGAACAAGGAAAGTAAATCTATTAGGTGCATGCTTTAAGGGATGTTTGAGAGCAGATCTTTAAAAGCAGCAGATGGAAAATTCACTCTGAAATGCTTTGCGTGCTGCTGCAGCCTAAAGGATCATCACTGGGGATTTGTAGCATCTCAGGAGCTCACAGGTACAGAGAAATACTCCTAGGCAAAGATCAGAGCTGCAACACATAACCAGCAAAAGATCTTGTAATCTCTACACTTAGGGGATAAACTGCACCCTCTGCTTTATAAAGCTTTTCTCCCAACCAAGAAAAGTTCCTGCCTCTGTGTGGAGCCAAACCTGCTTCCAGCCATGTTCCCTGCACACAGCAAAGTGGTTCTGGGCAAATACTACCAAAGAACCCTTCAGTGTCCTTTCCAGGAAGTAATCCATAATAACTTGCTGTATTCCCCTTATATTCACAAAAGGGAAGCCAGACCACAGGCACAGGTCTCCTGGACGCTGGATTTTAGCTCAGCCACTTCACCAGGCTCTTACATGGTGTTTGGAGGCGTTGTAGTGTCTGGAGGCAGAAAGAGACCCTGCAGCTGATCTGGATAAAGAAACGCAACCTAAACAGAAAACATAGGGATTTAGATAGAGGTATTTGGAGTAGTTCAGAAGTGGCACTCAAGGACAAAAATCCCTGGAAAGCAGCTTTCTAAGCTTGTGTAGAACTCCTTGAAGCTGGTTGTGGAGCCCCAGGTTCAAGATCAGACTTCCCCACAAGCAATTTCCACTTCTGAAGGGCAAGAAAATCTGGAAGAAGAATCAACAGCCAACTAACCCCAACAGGCAAGTCCCCACAAAGTAGCTTGGCTTGTACTTCAGCTGATGCTTTTGAGAGCTTATGACTGATGAACGGGGAAAACAAACCCCAGAAGAGCACCAAGACATGTAAGTGAAACCAAGTTTTGCTTTCTCAAGGTCATCATCACAGGAAGGAAATGAAGAAAAGGAGAGGGAGAGCTGGGATAAGTGTGGCGAACAGCTGGGGAAGGAAAGAAGGACCAAAAGGGTCACAGCTCCTCCTAATGATTCCTTACAATCCCAAATCCCTCCCGAGTCAAACCTTCCAGGGCCCCAGCATCAGCAGAAGGAAAAAGTACACGGCCACTCCCTGCTTCAACAAAGCTAGTCCTTTTTGGGGGCAAAAAGACATCCACAACCCAGGTTCAGAGACTTCCAGGAGGTCCTCTCCAACCAAACCTACTGCATGACAACTTGTCCCAGGTCAGTACGAGACTGTAGAGAGTACGAGACCCCCAGTCAGTAGAGCCTGTGCCAGCTCAGGATTCAATACATATCTAACTGCCTGCCTGCAAAACAGTCCACCTTCCAGCCTGCCTTCTTCCACTGCTTTCCTTCTCCAGTACCTTCCTGCTTTTTGCATAATGCATTGTGCAATCTACTTTACATATAGAGCTTTTAGTTCTTAAATTTATTATTTAGTGCTGTTTTCCGGTAATAAAGCAGGAGTATTGTTTTATTTATTCTTGCAGGCTGCACACGAGCACTTCTCTCTACAAAGAAGTACACAGCTTACAAGTGAATCCTTTTATGTTCTGCAGCACTGAACGGCAGAACAACCTGAACACAAAGCTCTTCAACTTCCTAGTCTCTGAGCAAGAAACCACAGAGCAGAGCTTTACAAGGAACCTGGTAAATACAGACAGTCAGAGTGGCTGGTGTGGTACTGCTCTCTGTGCTCCCATTTATAAAGTTCTAAAAGATTTTTGGGCACTTGGGAAGCAAATTGAGGAAGCAGCTACCTTGCTCCATCACGTGCACAACCTGCATGAGGAGTAGGTGCATGACTGCTATCTTGTTTGTTGCTGAAAGGGATAAATCAGGTGTAGGAGGAGGAGAAGGCTATTTCTACTTTTACCTTGAAGCAATGAATGAACAGGAACTGTCTGGAGGTAAAACCACAGCAAAGAGCCGGGCGTTTCAGAGAGAAGCACACAGAGGTGAGCTGCAGGCAGGAGGAATGGGCAGCTGTTCCCAATGCTGACTGTGAGACAGCTCCAGCACTCAGGATTCACTGTGGCTTTGAGCCCCAGATAGCTGCGGCACTTTGTTTTCTCCAGGGCTAAAATACAAACCTCTCTCACCTCCCTGAACACCACCAGCACTGCCTCCTTGGCAGCAAACAAGCACACAGAGGAATTCAGGCTCCTGATCTCAGACAGATGCTTCAAGTTGTAATTAAGCACAATTTTCAACTTCTTCATCCCGATTAAGTTATAAGAAGAAGGCGATATTGCCTAAAAAGCACAGAAACACAGTGTTTAACATCACCTCACTCAGCAGGGAGGGCCACATCCCATCCCAAAGGGAATTTTGTAAAGTTGTCCCATTTTTTTGCATGCAGGATGGAGGCAGCATCTCCACGGAAGGGCTCTGAAGGAGGTCTTCCCACTTGTATCCGTGCTGCCACACACATCTCTCAGCAACCTTTTCCCTCGTCCCAGAGAGGCCTCTGATGCACGGGGCGGGCAGCACAGCAGCGAGCTGATGGCCTACTGCACTTTTTGGAGAACGTTTCATTGCCACGGAAGTGGAGGCCGCTCTGTTTCAGACAGCCTGATCAATCATGCCAAATAACTCAATTACCCGACGCGCTGTAATCACCCATATTTATACAGCAGGCGGATTCTTATCCGACACAGTTCATTACGAGGCAAACGAGAAATTCAGATGCACAAACACAACTATTGCCAGCACTCTATTAATTTCAGCTCGATTCAAATAGGGTCCCTGTGGGTAACAAACCCGTTTCTCAATACCAGACACTCCAGTCACACATTCCCAATTAGGCAAGGGACATTAAATGCCTTTCTACTGCACTCGCAGGTGGATAACACAGCAGGAACAGTGGTCCAAGGAGTGAAGTATCTTTGCTGCCTGCAGAGGCTTCAGGAGAAAGATGTCACCAAATAACTGTGCCACCACCTGCACCGGGCTCGTTGGAACTCTGCCAGCATCCCAGCCACGCTGCCTTAGAATCACAGAATGGTTGGGTTGGAAGGGACCTCAAGGATGAAGTTCCAACCCCCTGCCACACGCAGGGCCACCAACCTCCACATTTCATAGCAGCCCAGGCTGCCCAGGGCCCCATCCAACCTGGCCTTGAACACCTCCAGGGATGGACGGGGCATCCACAGCCTCTCTGGGCAGCTGTTCCAGGTTCTCATCACTCCCATAGTAAAGAACTTCCCCCAGACATCAAATTTAAGCCTTTCCTCCTTGAACTGCCTTTGTCACACTGGTGGCACTTCTGCATGGGTAGACCTGGAACCACATATACCCACGTACATTTGTCCAGATATGAGAATGGAAATGAACTGTTCAGAGAAACTGAACCGGAGAAGTAACATTGCCAACAAAACCCACCATCAGAGCAGGACTGGCTGGGGAGCAGCCATCCTGTCCTCATCACAGGGCAGAAGTATTACTGAATGTAAGTGCAGCTATGGGACAAACATAGATCTAATCGTGGAATATCCTGAGTTGGAAGGGACCAACAAAGATATTCTGCCCTTTCCTCTGCTCAATCTGAGAGCTCCCCAGAGCACAGCACAGCCACGCCACTGGTGCACAGTGCCCAAGTGCTGGCTGAAAGCAATGCATCCCACAGCTTCCTACTGTAAAGACACTGCCATGCCATGCATATCCAGGGTAGGATGTGCAGATGTGGAAGTTAAAAATAAGCAACAAAACATGGTGCCTGAAGCTTGTGGGAGTGCATAACGAGGTTATTAACAACACAAAAGTGTACGATGGAAGATAAGCACTAGCAGAATGCACTATAATTAAATTTTTACAGAACGGAGTTGTTGCCTGGGTTTGAAATGCTGGCTAATTTAACGCCTGCTGCATGCTGGTTTATCAGTGGTACCCACTGCTTTGCCTGCAAGGAACAGAAGCAGCAAGCCTAGTCTCTAATCAAGCTGTGTGTTTGGAGAACGCTACCACCCAGACCCCAAAAGGGGAAGGATGGAAGACATCCCACTCTGCCACACATTCAGGGAAAAGCAAGGACTGCTGCCATAACAGACAGGGGAAAAAGTAGTCAGGAATGAAAAGACAAGGAACACTGGGGGACACGTGCAGTAAGAAAAAGCTGTTGCAGCCAAGTTGTGCAGCTTTTCTGCCTAATGAAGCCTAAGAAAGATGAGGGGAAGAAGGATGGAAGGAACTTGGCCATCACTGGAGGTGAAGGAAGGAATTAACTTTACACCTGCACAAGCGAGGCTCCATCACTGAACAAGATTAGATGGGCTTTGGCAAGCCACAGGTCATAAAAGTGGAGCTAAGGGTCAAATGGAATCTGCCTAGAAATAAATTGCTAAATCAAATCTAACTAACTCACCACCTTTTTAATAATGTGGCTCTGTATCAGTGCACCCTGCAGCCCGTGCTGAGGTTCCCAGTGAGGTTCCCCTCCCCTGCAGCTTTACCACTGCCCTTTAAGCTTTCCTGCATATCCGAAACTAGAAAGTTTTTGGTTTTGGTGAGAAAAAGAAAAAACGACTCCTTAATGGCAGAACTCCCTACTTGTATCAAATTCCTGCCATACGTAACTCTGATACGTTATTTGGACTCCTGTGGTTTCCAGCTCATGCCCAAGAGCTCAAGAGGCACCACCAGCCCACCACACCCCAGGAGCACAAATGTGATCCCCCACTCACACTGACATGTTCTCC